GTTCCCTCACAGTAACCTTCGTGTTCCCTGGCTGTACTACCTCGTTCCTCCACAGTAACCTTCGTGTTCCCTGGCTGTACTACCTCGTTCCTCCACAGTAACCTTCCTGTTCCCTGGCTGTACTACCACGTTCCTCCACAGTAACCTTCCTGTTCCCTGGCTGTACTACCACGTTCCTCCACAGTAACCTTCCTGTTTCCTGGCTGTACTACCACGTTCCTCCACAGTAACCTTCGTGTTCCCTGTCTGTACTACCACGTTCCCTCACAGTAACCTTCCTGTTCCCTGGCTGTACTACCTCGTTCCTCCACAGTAACCTTCCTCTTCCCTGGCTGTACTACCTCGTTCCCTCACAGTAACTTACTGTTCCCTGGCTGCACTACCACGTTCCTCCACAGTAACTTACTGTTCCCTGGCTGCACTACCACGTTCCTCCACAGTAACTTACTGTTCCCTGGCTGTACTACCTCGTTCCCTCGCAGTAACCTTCGTGTTCCCTGGCTTCACTACCACGTTCCCTCACAGTAACCTTCCTGTTCCCTGGCTGTACTACCTCGTTCCCTCACAGTAAACTTCGGGTTCCCTGGCTGCACTACCACATTCCCTCACAGTAACCTTCCTGTTCCCTGGCTGTACTACCTCGTTCCCTCACAGTACCCTTCGTGTTCCCTGGCTGTTCTACCTCGTTCCCTCACAGTAACCTTCGTGTTCCCTGGCTGCACTACCACGTTCCTCCACAGTAACCTTCGTGTTCCCTGGCTGTACTACCTCGTTCCCTCACAGTAACCTTCGTGTTCCCTGGCTGTACTAACTCGTTCCCTCACAGTAACCTTCCTGTTCCCTGGCTGTACTAACTCGTTCCCTCACAGTAACCTTCGTGTTCCCTGGCTGTACTACCTCGTTCCCTCACAGTAACTTACTGTTCCCTGGCTGTACTACCACGTTCCCTCACAGTAACCTTCGTGTTCCCTGACTGCACTACCTCGTTCCTCCACAGTAACTTACTGTTCCCTGGCTGCACTACCACGTTCCTCCACAGTAACTTACTGTTCCCTGGCTGCACTACCACGTTCCTCCACAGTAACTTACTGTTCCCTGGCTGTACTACCACGTTCCTCCACAGTAACTTACTGTTCCCTGGCTGTACTACCTCGTTCCCTCGCAATAACCTTCGTGTTCCCTGGCTGCACTACCACGTTCCCTCACAGTAATCTTCCTGTACCCTGGCTGTACTACCTCGTTCCCTCACAGTAACCTTCCTGTTCCCTGGCTGTACTACCTCGTTCCCTCACAGTAACCTTCCTGTTCCCTGGCTGCACTACCTCGTTCCTCCACAGTAACCTTCGTGTTCCCTGGCTGTACTACCACGTTCCCTCACAGTTACCTTCGTGTTCCCTGGTTGTACTACCACGTTCCCTCACAGTAACCTTCGTGTTCCCTGGCTGTACTACCTCGTTCCTCCACAGTAACCTTCGTGTTCCCTGGCTGTACTACCACGTTCCCTCACAGTTACCTTCGTGTTCCCTGGTTGTACTACCACGTTCCCTCACAGTAACCTTCGTGTTCCCTGGCTGTACTACCTCGTTCCCTCACAGTAACCTTCGTGTTCCCTGGCTGTACTACCACGTTCCCTCACAGTAACCTTCGTGTTCCCTGACTGCACTACCTCGTTCCTCCACAGTAACTTACTGTTCCCTGGCTGCACTACCACGTTCCTCCACAGTAACTTACTGTTCCCTGGCTGCACTACCACGTTCCTCCACAGTAACTTACTGTTCCCTGGCTGTACTACCACGTTCCTCCACAGTAACTTACTGTTCCCTGGCTGTACTACCTCGTTCCCTCGCAATAACCTTCGTGTTCCCTGGCTGCACTACCACGTTCCCTCACAGTAATCTTCCTGTACCCTGGCTGTACTACCTCGTTCCCTCACAGTAACCTTCCTGTTCCCTGGCTGTACTACCTCGTTCCCTCACAGTAACCTTCCTGTTCCCTGGCTGCACTACCTCGTTCCTCCACAGTAACCTTCGTGTTCCCTGGCTGTACTACCACGTTCCCTCACAGTTACCTTCGTGTTCCCTGGTTGTACTACCACGTTCCCTCACAGTAACCTTCGTGTTCCCTGGCTGTACTACCTCGTTCCTCCACAGTAACCTTCGTGTTCCCTGGCTGTACTACCACGTTCCCTCACAGTTACCTTCGTGTTCCCTGGTTGTACTACCACGTTCCCTCACAGTAACCTTCGTGTTCCCTGGCTGTACTACCTCGTTCCCTCACAGTAACCTTCGTGTTCCCTGGCTGTACTACCTCGTTCCTCCACAGTAACCTTCGTGTTCCCTGGCTGTACTACCTCGTTCCTCCACAGTAACCTTCCTGTTCCCTGGCTGTACTACCACGTTCCTCCACAGTAACCTTCCTGTTCCCTGGCTGTACTACCACGTTCCTCCACAGTAACCTTCCTGTTTCCTGGCTGTACTACCACGTTCCTCCACAGTAACCTTCGTGTTCCCTGTCTGTACTACCACGTTCCCTCACAGTAACCTTCCTGTTCCCTGGCTGTACTACCTCGTTCCTCCACAGTAACCTTCCTGTTCCCTGGCTGTACTACCTCGTTCCCTCACAGTAACTTACTGTTCCCTGGCTGTACTACCACGTTCCCTCACAGTAACTTACTGTTCCCTGGCTGTACTACCACGTTTCCTCACAGTAACCTTCGTGTTCCCTGGCTGTAGTACCACGTTCCCTCACAGTAACCTTCGTGTTCCCTGGCTGTACTACCACGTTCCCTCACAGTAACCTTCCTGTTCCCTGGCTGTACTACAACGTTCCCTCACAGTAACCTTCGTGTTCCCTGGCTGTACTACCACGTTCCTCCACAGTAACCTTCCTGTTCCCTGGCTGTACTACCTCGTTCCCTCACAGTGACCTTCGTGTTCCCTGGCTTTTCTACCACGTTCCCTGACAAGCAAGTTCACGTTCCCACGCAATTATCCTCTCACAATAATCTTATAAGGGCACAATATTGATTAGACAAGGGAGCTTTGTTATGTATGCTCGTGATATACCACTCAACAATACATGGAGTGTCCGAATGTGGCGTGAATGTTCCTTATTGCTTGGAGATGCCTAGAACAGTATTGCCATTAAACTAACGCATTTCAATTTCATTTACGTAATTATTTGTTCATATCTGTATCAAATATAAGTAATGTCGTGATGGACATACACATATTTACAATAGAACATGTCCAAGAAGGTGCTGCTTCCTTTTGTCTGCCAAACAGCAATGGTGTGAATAAACAGACCCCTATTACGCTTGATATGGCTCTCCTCAAGGCATTTTAAACGAGAGATCGATAACATCCCGTAGTGCGTCGTCTGTCCGTCTAGTTTCCCGTGACAATGTCTTCCAAACAAGGTGAAAATGTGTTGTATTCACTTGCAGGTACACATTTCACAATTCAATGTACCTGTATACGAATAAAAGGTTATGTCGGGCTTATAGGGATGGGGGGGGGGGGGGGGGGGGGGCATAATTGCCGACATCCTTGCCAGACATTTTCATGAAGCATGAGTGTTCAAAAGTGTTATTTACAAAAACACATATGTTACTTCTTTTTGTAAAATATAAACTGAGTGGCCAAAAAAGTATACCGCGTTTTTTATGTAAATGAAAAATGAATTACTGTTATTAAATTGGATCATGTCTATTTAACCATCAGTCATTCCTGCAACTGTTTGTAAAACGTAATCTGTGACTAGGCACTTTTGTGTACAGTGAGTGAGTTTGGTTTTACGCAGTTTTTAGCAATATTCCAGCAATATCACAGCGGGGGACATCAGAAATGGGCTTCACACATTGTACTCATGTCGGGAATGGAACCCGGGTCTTCGGCGTGACGAGCGAACGCTTTAATCGCTAGGCTACCCGACTGCCCCATTTTGTGTAGAATGAATTTTGTGTTCAATGAAGACTTGGGTAAGAAATGAATTTGCAACCTCATGACCTTTATCATTTTTTACATGTTGTGGACATTTGCCGAAAAAGGAAAATCTATTGATGTCGAAGATGAGATGTTTGAGATCCCCATCAGCAGTTGTGTATTATGCCATTTTTTTAATTTGGAAAAGTTTTATATCAAATAATTTTTAAAACATAACCCATGTAGAAGTTTTCTTTGAGTGCTGACTTATCGCCAGGGTAGTTCACATTTTGGATATAATATCGCTAGCTTAAAATATTTTCAATTAAAAATCAAACATGTGATAAAATCAACTGAGAGGTGTAGCTTCTTCGTCCCTCTGTTTAAACATAGTCGCTTACATTCATTGCTCAAGTGGGTTTACAGTATAGAGTGATGCACGAAGCTTTAAGGGTGTAGTTGCAAACTTGCAAATGTATTATTACAAGGTGTTTAGCTTCACCTGATGTGTGACCCGCGTGCTGTTCACAGGACTACCGCCATCGTGCTGTGTTAAGTAGGTTACCGATAACTGCTCATCTGAAACAATCATTTCATGAGATCGAAATGTGACAAGACGACGTTCGCAACACGGTTTAACACGGTGTTCAATATACAACCTACCACTGGTGATAACTAGAAAGTCGTGGCAATAAAGATGTTATTCTCGTCATTATGACATGGTTGCAATGTAGAAGAAACCACCGCTTGTGAAAGTAATTAAACATTGGTGATAATAAACAAGTTGTTGATGTCATTATCATCACGTTGTTGACAAGAGAAGCAACTACGCCACTACAGAAAATTGAAAAATAGCAATAAAAAAGTGATTATCACATTACAATAAAGAGATTATCACATGAGTGTTTTCTATCGACTGTACTTACTGTCAAAGTCATATTATTAATTTGTGTTAACCATAAACCATTTGCATATCTTTGTCACGTGACTTCTTTGAATCACGTGGGCGATTGTGATTACTTAATGTAATGGATAAAAGCCGGAACTGGTTAATGTCGCGCACAATACCACTGGAGACAGGAAGGTCTTAGTGAAGCGACTACCGACATTTACGGCTGAGGTACCGAAGGTCGAAGTCGTCCCCCGCCGTTTGCCACAGCGACTGGTAAGTCTTTTCCACTCATTTATCGCTATTTGTGTTCAGCAAGAACATTAGTCACACAAAAGACGCAATGGTCTGATTGATGTCATTATTCTAATAATCAAATGATCTGCGTGTTCGGATTGCAAATACAAGTTGGGAGCAGTAAAACTGGCATTAAGTTTTTTGTTATCTTACAATGATGTTTTCAATAGCTTCCTACCGTAGATTTACATCATAACTGACACCTGTGTGTGGAATAGCGCGTACCGACAAATCTAATAAGAAGTAGTTTAAGGGGAATGAATCCTAGATTCGCTTTGACAGGTTTTCTAGGTTTGACAGGACCATGCCTGTGCTCCTGGGTTTCACCAGTGTGTAACGTTTAAGACCTGCATCACTTCGGGCTTTCATCCCACATGGATCTATCTCAGTAATGCAACTGAAATAGTCCACAGAATAGCCATAGTGGGTGGGTCGGGTGGTGCATTTACCTTTCTCTATTTATTACCTATTATCCATAAGGAGATAATAATATTATTAAGCGACATGATGGAGTGGCTCGATCATTTTATTACCGTCTTCGACATGCTTGTGGTTTTGACACAGAGGTCCATCCATGGTACGACCCGGTCATTGAAAATAGGCCCGTATGCAGCCTCAGACGTATCCAGGACAACAAACCTGTTCATGTCCTTTATGTAACTGAATTTTATGTCCCTTTTTACACTAATGTGATTGACATGATTCAGTAAAAACAGGCAAATATGCAGACTTCGCTTTCGAAATGTCGCGTTGCATCCCAAGTACCAAGTTGTCCGATTCCCCATTGTTCTCGGTGCCTGAGGTTTGGTACCTCCCAATCTGTTGAATGGCATTGGGAGAGTACCCGGGTTTGCTACCAGGAATACAGCCCTTCTGGCAATCTGGGTAATGTAGAAGGCCGCAGTGTTGGTGAGTCTTCATATTCTCCGAAAAGTTCTGGGTGGATTTGACTAGGCAGCGCTTCCTGGGGGAGTTCCGTTCGCTGTCTGGGCTGCGTGTAGAGGGGGCAAGGGCCCTGAGCTGATATGATGAGCCTAACCAGCCTGACTGTGCCAGGATCACCCAAACCCTCTTTGCTGCATTTTTTTATTTTAATCTGTACATAATAATAATAAACGTCAAAGTATGATTGTGCTTCAAAATGTAAATATGAAATGTATATTATGCAATAAATTTAATGAGACTGTCCAAAACATTGTCAGTGGATGCCCAGCTTTGGCAACAACACAGTATCTTAAGCGACATGATGGAGTGGCCCGATCATTTTATTACCGTCTTCGCCATGCTTGTGGTTTTGACACAGAGGTCCATCCATGGTACGACCCGGAATATGTAGAGGGCGTCATGGAAATTTATAAATACAAAATTCTTGGGGATGGGCCCGTATGCAGCCTCAGACGTATCCAGGACAACAAACCTGATCTTGTCCTTTTTTATAAAACCAATGAAACCATTTATATAACTGAATTTTCTGTCCCTTTTTACACTAACGTGATTGACATGATTCAGTAAAAACAGGCAAATATGCATTTCGAAATGTCGCGTTGCATCCCAAGTACCAAGTTGTCCGATTCCCCATTGTTCTCGGTGCCTGAGGTTTGGTACCTCCCAATCTGTTGACTGACATTGTGAGAGTACTGGTTTTGCTACCAGGAATACAGCCCTTCTGACAATCTTGGTAATGCAGAAGGCTGCAGTGTTGGGGAGTCTTCACATTTTCCGAAATGTTCTCTGTGGGTTCGATTATGCAGCGCTTCATGGGAGAAGTCCCATTCGCTGTCTGGGCTGTGTGAAATAATTTTCAAAGAGGCGTTTAAACAAATTCACTCACTCATTCGTTATATTGTCGGGTGGAAGGTGATTTCCCATATCGGTGTACTGTGTATACAGCTGATTCTGATTGCTGGCCTTCACCCTAGTCATTAACACCTGCCCCACCCGCATCTGTCACATCATGTCAGAACATTTGAGAAAATAATGTCTCATTGAGAAAATATAATAAAAAGTGAAAAACTATTTACATTTGCGATTTATCCTTTGTTTACAATGGTTATACGGTTCCACGTGCAAGCGTCAAACTATTGGGATATCTAGGTACATATATGTTATAGTAGGATATCTTTATGACAGTGAGAGACTGTTTAGCCGGACTACTCGGAGCTACGCATCAGCGCGTTTGTTGACAAATAAGAGAGTCCGGTCATGTGATATGCAAATTAGCTTGTGGCAGTGGTCTTATGCCCAGTCCTGATTGCGCTGGAACGTAGATCGCCGATAGACAAGTGCGCGATGCCATATTTATTTGTAAACACTGTAAGCAGTACCTACATGACCTTTACTATTTACATACTTATCCGGAAATGATCTCAATACCGTTTTTATCCGTTGGCTTTCGCCTGCCAAGAAACCTGACCATTATATGAGAGTGAGTGAGTGAGTGAGTGAGTGAGTGAGTGAGTGAGTGAGTGAGTGAGTGAGTGAGTGAGTGAGTGAGTGAGTGAGTGAGTGAGTGAGTGAGTCGGTGGGTGGGTGGGTGAGTGAGTGAGTGAGTGAGTGAGTGAGTGAGTGAGTGAGAGTGAGTGAGTGAGTGAGTGAGTGAGTGAGTGAGTGAGTGAGTGAGTGAGTGAGACAGTCAGTCAGTCAGTAAGTCAGTCAGTTGTGTTTTATGACGCTTTATACAATGTATGTCACGGCGTGTCAGCTTACCAAGGGGAGGGGAGCCACTTTGTTGAAGCTCACGAGCACAGTAAGTTGCTGAAACACGTGCCGAAGGGACGCAACTCCACACAGCGCCGATGACTGCGACCCTTACCCTACCCGACACCACACGATGTCCCTACAAACTACTGGTTATAACCTGTGCCAATACCTACCATGCCAGTAAAATAAATAGAGTGATATGAATACCTTGAATTAGCAAACATATATCGATTGCGGGTTAAGTTAACGAAGTACCGAGCGTGTTTTGTGAATTCGGTTTGTGAGTTTCTCTCAAGATCACATGTCGGAAATTTCAATCAATGGTTCTTTCTGCTTCTATAGTTACTCGACACATATCCGAGCATACATTTGTATATGTTGACCGTTCATAATCTTTATGGATCGACTACTTTCAGAACAATCCCAAATAATTTTTTCCCCTCTTTTTCAGACTTCTGTGCAATAAAACATGTCGAGCACAACTGCGTCTCTCGTCAACGTGACTACCTCCTTACTGGTCACCGGAAGTCACGTGATTGGCGAGATACTAGAAAATGTGACACATGCGATGGATCGCCATGGAAACCTTGATGGTTGGCACCATGATGATCACGTGGAGGTCGCGGACGACCATCACGAGGAACACGTGGACGACCACCACGCCGTATCCTACATCCCATGGAACAACCCCGACAATGTCATTACGGCAGCACAGCGTGACTTAGGCCTGACTGTCATCGACTGTGGCCTCGTGCCACCCGTGGTGCTATTCGGTCTGGTCGGGAACATCATCACCTTGATGGTATTCATACGCCAGGGAATCAAGGAGAAGACCAACATCTGCCTCTTCGCTCTGGCTGTCTCAGATACTATGTTCCTGATCACTACTTACATGGAGAAGGTGTCATGTCTCGTGACAAGGATGGACGAGGTCATTGGCAACAACTGGGCTGCACTACTTCATCCGCAAGGGTACTTCATCTCTCTGTACTTCGGTCGCGTCACCAGCCTTCTCACCATGGTGATCGGAATGGAGAGATGCGTGGCAGTTCTGAGACCATTTCAGGCGAAAACGTGGTTGACAGCGACGCGGATGAGATCCTGCGTCATCAGCGTCTATGTCATCATTGCTCTGTTGATCACACCCATGTTCTGCGTGTACACGACTCGCTGGGAGTATGACACAAGCATCAACCGCACGCGCATCCATCTCCAGACAACCAAGATGTTTGAAGAGAACCATCGCGCCTTTGAATGCTACGGTGACATCGCTCTGAGCATCGCATTGCGGCAGATCCCCTGTTACATGGTTGCTTTATCAACAATCGCCGTCATTTGTGCGATTCGAAAGCACAATTCATGGCGATCAGAAACCGGGTCCGGAAAGAAGGATTTTTCCGCACAGGAGCAGAAGTTGACCAAGATGCTCGTTGCCATTTCTTGTCTGTACGTCTTGTGTCTGACTCCAGGAAATATCCTCATGATCGTTCGTCACGTGATCACCGATATCCACGTAGGAAGGAAGAACCACAACCTCGCCATCGTCCTCACCGCCGCCAACGTCTTCACAGAGATCATCAACTCCTCCTTCAACTTCGTCATCTACATGTTGATGAGTCAGAAGTTTTTAACCACGGCCAAGAAGATGTTTGGCTGTGAGGAGGCGGAATCTAAACCTATTCAACCTGAGGAATCTTCCTCCACAAAGACAACTAAGGTCTCCACAGTATCCACTTCAGTGTCCACTAAGGGCTGACTTCGAAAAGGACATCGACATTCAGATGCTATTTACCTATTTAAGTATCCCCACATCAATAGATGCACATGCACCGGGTAATTCACAAAATCAGGATTTACTCATTCAACTGAAGCCAATACATACAGCTAGTCAGGTTTGTAGGAATAAAATTTATCGTAAGATAAGGCGCTTATTGACCTTCCTGTGTGGAAGTTCCCCCCGTAACCTATACTAATACGTCTTACGTCTTACGTAGTAGTTGTAGTAGTAGTAGTATTACTAGTGTAACTACTACTTGCTTCAAATGGTTGCCTGATCTGTACATAGGATATACATAGGATATTGCCGTGGAGACACTATATGTAACTCACTAACTTCATGGGCTCAAGTAACTCGTTAACAAATGTAACTACCTTTGTGGTTTTGTTCAAGCGTTTATTGTTGTCCTTGGAGAGTTGGATGTGGTTGTGGATGTGGTGGATGTGGTTGTGGGTGTGGTGGAGGTGGTTGTCGATGTGTTGGAGGTGGTTGTCGATGTGGTGGAGGTGGTTGTCGATGTAGTGGAGGTGGTTGTCGATGTGGTGGAGATTGTGGAAGTGGTGGTGGTGGAGATTGTGGAAGTGGTAGTGGTGGAGACTGAGGATGCGGTGGTGATGGTTGTCGATGTGGTGGAGGTGGCGGTCGATGGGGTGGAGATTGAGGATGAGGTGGTGGTGGAGATTGTGGATATGGTGGAGGTGGTCGTCGATGTGGTGGAGGTGGCGGGGGTGGTTGTCGATGTAGTGGAGTTGGTTGTGGACGTGGTGGAGGTGGAGATTGAAGATGTGGTGGTGATGGTTGTCGATGTGGTGGATGTGGTTGTCGATGTAGTGGATGTGGCGGTCGATGTGGAGGAGATTGTGGAATTGGTGGTGGTGGAGATTGAGGGTGTGGTGGTGGTGGAGATTTTGGATGTGGTGGTGGAGGTGGCGGTGGTCGATGTGGTGGTGGAGATTGAGGGTGTGGTGGTGGTGGAGATTGTGGATGTAGTGGTGGATGTGGCGGGCGATGTGGTTGTGAGATTGTGGAAGTGGTGGAGATTGAGGATGTGGTGGTGGTGGTGTTTGAGGATGTGATGGTATTTTCGGTGGTGGTGGTGATTGAGATTGAGGATGTGGTTGTGGTGGTGTTTGAGGATGTGATGGTATTTTCGGTGGTGGTGGTGGTGATGGAGATTGAGGATGTGGTGGTGGTGGTGTTTGAGGATGTGATGGTATTTTCGGTGGTGGTGGTGGTGGTGGTTATTGTGGTTATCGTTGTTTGGTCTGGATTACTGTGTTTGTGACTCATAACTAAATGGCCGTATCAAAACCACGTGACATGTTCTTATGTACGAACACTCTTATTAATGAAGTTCATAAACTGTTTAGTCACCAGTAGTTGTTGTTACATGAGTGTAAATTAGTCCATGGTTTAAAATATGTCGTAGAGTCACCTGTTATCAACACACCGCTGCTTGCTTCATAAAGAAGCAAATAACCTGGCAGCCCAAGACAGACCTTCTCTTATTGAGTTGAGTGTCTCATGGGTCATTGTGGAGGTGATAGTGATAATGATGACTGATGACGAGGTGGTATTGGGTGCAGGTTGTTGTTGGTTTGCAGCGTTATCAACGACAAATACTTACCAGCAGTATGTATAGGAGGTACCGTTATTAACGACAAATACTTACCAGCAGTATGTATAGGAGGTACCGTTATTAACGACAAATACTTACCAGCAGTATGTATAGGAGGTACCGTTATTAACGACAAATACTTACCAGCAGTATGTATAGGAGGTACCGTTATTAACGACAAATACTTACCAGCAGTATGTATAGGAGGTACCGTTATTAACGACAAATACTTACCAGCAGTATGTATAGGAGGTACCGTTATTAACGACAAATACTTACCAGCAGTATGTATAGGAGGTACCGTTATTAACGACAAATACCTACCACCAGTATGTATAGGAGGTCCCGTTATTAACGACAAATACCCACCAGCAGTATGTATAGGAGGTACCGTTTATAACGACAAATACCTACCAGCAGTATGTATAAGAGGTACCGTTATTAACGACAAATACTTACCAGCAGTATGTATAGGAGGTACCATTATTAACGGCAAATACTTACCAGCAGTATGTATAGGAGGTACCGTTATTAACGACAAATACTTACCAGCAGTATGTATAGGAGGTACCGTTATTAACGACAAATACTTACCAGCAGTATGTAAAGGAGGTACCGTTATTAACGACAAATACTTACCAGCAGTATGTATAGGAGGTACCGTTATTAACGACACATACTTACCAGCAGTATGTATAGGAGGTACCGTTATTAACGACAAATACTTACCAGCAGTATGTATAGGAGGTACCGTTATTAAAGACACATACTTACCAGCAGTATGTATAGGAGGTACCGTTATTAACGACACATACTTACCAGCAGTATGTATAGGAGGTACCGTTATTAACGACACATACTTACCAGCAGTATGTATAGGAGGTACCGTTATTAACGACAAATACTTACCAGCAGTATGTATAGGAGGTACCGTTATTAACGACACATACTTACCAGCAGTGTGTATAGGAGGTACCGTTATTAACGACAAATACTTACCAGCAGTATGTATAGGAGGTACCGTTATCAACGACAAATACTTACCAGCAGTATGTATAGGAGGTACCGTTATTAACGACAAATACTTATCAGCAGTATAGGAATTCCGTTATTAACGACAAATACTTACCAGCAGTATGTATAGGGGGTACCGTTATTAACGACACATACTTACCAGCAGTATGTATAGGAGGTTCCGTTATTAACGACAAATACTTACCAGCAGAATAGGAGGTACCGTTATTAACGACAAATACCTACCAGCAGTATGTATAGGAGGTACCGTTATTAACGACAAATACCTACCAGCAGTATGTATAGGAGGTACCGTTATTAACGACAAATACTTACCAGCAGTATGTATAGGAGGTACCGTTATTAACGGCAAATACTTACCAGCAGTATGTATAGGAGGTACCGTTATTAACGCAAATTAGCCAATAAATGATAAGGTCTAAAAGATCTGACGTTTCTTTATACACTAAAGCTTGATATTCGACCCCTGTGCAGTAGCGTGAGTTAACACTGTCGACCCCTGTGCACTAGCGTGAGTTAACACTGTCGACCCCTGTGCACTAGCGTGAGTTAACACTGTAGACCCCTGTGCAGTAGCGTGAGTTAACACTGTCGACCCCCGTGCACTAGCGTGAGTTAACACTGTCGACCCCCGTGCACTAGCGTGAGTTAACACTGTCGACCCCTGTGCACTAGCGTGAGTTAACACTGTCGACCCCTGTGCACTAGCGTGAGTTAACACTGTCGACCCCTGTGCACTAGCGTGAGTTAACACTGTCGATCCCTGTGCACTAGCGTGAGTTAACACTGTCGACCCCCGTGCACTAGCGTGAGTTAACACTGTCGACCCCCGTGCACTAGCGTGAGTTAACACTGTCGACCCCTGTGCACTAGCGTGAGTTAACACTGTCGACCCCTGTGCACTAGCGTGAGTTAACACTGTCGACCCCTGTGCACTAGCGTGAGTTAACACTGTCGATCCCTGTGCACTAGCGTGAGTTAACACTGTCGACCCCCGTGCACTAGCGTGAGTTAACACTGTCGACCCCCGTGCACTAGCGTGAGTTAACACTGTCGACCCCTGTGCACTAGCGTGAGTTAACACTGTCGACCCCTGTGCACTAGCGTGAGTTAACACTGTCGACCCCTGTGCGCTAGCGTGAGTTAACACTGTCGACCCCTGTGCGCTAGCGTGAGTTAACACTGTCGACCCCTGTGCGCTAGCGTGAGTTAACACTGTCGACCCCTGTGCACTAGCGTGAGTTAACACTGTCGACCCCTGTGCACTAGCGTGAGTTAACACTGTCGACCCCTGTGCACTAGCGTGACTTAACACTGTCGACCCCTGTGCACTAGCGTGAGTTAACACTGTCGACCCCTGTGCGCTAGCGTGAGTTAACACTGTCGACCCCTGTGCACTAGCGTGACTTAACACTGTCGACCCCTGTGCACTAGCGTGAGTTAACACTGTCGACCCCTGTGCACTAGCGTGAGTTAACATTGTCGACCCCTGGGCACTAGCGTGAGTTAACACTGTCGACCCCTGTGCACTAGCGTGAGTTAACACTGTCGACCCCTGTGCACTAGCGTGACTTAACACTGTACATCGTATTGGCAATGTTGCAGCCATTCAGCGGTGGGGACAAGGTTGTGCATCAGAAGATGTCTTCTACATGTCTACAAGTTTGTTTTTGTCTCTGAAGCACACGGATATATATTTGATGTAGTAATTTGTCGATAAAAAATAAACAACCTTCACATCTGAACTTTTTTCTATTACATTTTCAGTTAAGGTCTGTTATGCATTTGTGCACGCTGGAATCCGCCTGTCGTATCCATTTTGAACAATGGAATAGTCAAATCAATCGCTTCGGGTATTGAAATATTCAATAAAAACTTTAAGGTAACGGATTTCGGATTTCGTACTAGTGAAAGCAGCTTATATCTGAGATATTTATCTTCATGCGTCAAGTAGGTGCAAAAACACATGTACCCACACTCTACTCTCCACAGACTCTTTACATCCGGGGAGTCTGTGTTAGGGGTTGCAAATAAAACGTTAATAAATTTAAAATACAACCCCATATATCAAAAGTTGTCGACAACGGAACTAAATGGCGAAATCGACCCCCCAATCCCTGTTGTCGAAATGGCCTCACAAAGCCACAGAAATTATAGAAGGTTATGATAAATTATATTTTAACATAACAATATACACATGCACACAATCACACACACTATACGATACACGTTGAATGATGTAACAAACACGCAAATAAAAACACTCTAGTTTCGGCTGTTCGGTTATACATGTAACGTCAAAGTCAAAATTAGTTTAATAAATGCAATGCCAGTAGTACACTGTGAAACACATTACATGGATTTTACGACGTCATGTCTTTTTCTGTATGCATAATATACATATTATTGTAGACGTTTTAATAAATCATCCTGAATTGTACACAACAAACTTTTGAATTTATACATAGTTGGAAATTTCCAATACAACTCTGGCAAATAAACGTTACGTTGTTCAATATGATGTTTACAGATCAATACGAAATGATATTCATCTTCAACAGACATAGGCGTAAACATGATTCAACAGATTGCTATCTACCCTCGTTCTGTCGTAAAGGCAAAACATTACATCTTAATTTAATAAAAACACTGCGTACACGTTTACTAGTGTAAATACTCAGATATCTTTCAGATTCAAACAGTGTTTTATATTCTTTATACATCACATATCGGGTACTATTGTTGAGTGTTGGCTTCCAGGTTTGACGAAATTCATCTACAAGACACGTTTTAAATACCACAATGAAAGCTATACTGTCCCCAACAGACTGGTTTAACTATACAAATCCCAAACTATGCGAAAATAAAATGTTACGAACAGATGCTAGTACCCAAGTATTATGACCTATGTTGTCGAAATACATCAA